ACCGGGGAGAGGGAGGCTACAACAGATTATCTCGCCTTGCCTCTGCTGATAGCATTTTTTCCCCAGTCTCTCCAGCCTGTTTACCCCAAAACACATGGCCTCCTTTCTTTCTGCCAGCATGTCATATTGCCATCGTCTTAATAGCAGCTGAGTGGTGAGCAAAGGCTCCCGCAAAAGGAGGTCACCTCCTCAAGCTGGAAGCAAGCTATTTTAAGGAGAGGCTGGGGAATTTGAGCGCTGCCAGTGCAAGAGCAAGAGCGGAGCGGAGGCTCCTCTGGATTTCAACCCACTAACATTATAACAGACAGGCAGGCGTCAATGGCTTTCCATACCGCGAGTGAAGAGGGGGCGGGGGGGGGGGGGGGGGGGTAAACCCCAGCCCAGCCTCGCAGATGGATCACACACGCCGTTTTCTATATTGTAGCGTGGGTCAAAATAATAGGAGTCAGAAGGGGAGAGATCCAGAGGGCCCCAGCCACTGTCTCTTGTACAGATTTGTAGCGAAGCCTCCGCTGTAATTAAAACCTTACAGCCAGATTCATTCAATGTGTGGCTCTGCAGAGGGTCGGAGGTTGGGGCTTTTTGTTTGGTTAATGTTTTGTTTTGTTGTTGTCGTTGGTTGCTTTCCCTGATGGGGCGAGGGTGGAGGGAGAAAATCTGCTTTAAAATGGAATTAAGCTTTAGGCGAGTCCCTGCCTTGGCCGGGGGACGGGACAAGGCCGGGGACAGGTCTCCTGCCCCCTGTGCGCATGGGGACCCTGTCCCCAGCACGCAGGACCCCGGCGAACAGTCCGTGCCTCTGTCCTGCCCTCCTCGCCCCTCCGCGGGCGGACGCGTGACCGCGGCCGTCTCTGCGCGACGTGGGACCGGGGACGCCTCCCCCCTTCGGGGCAGGAGGGGCCTCTCCGATTCCAGCCTGAGCTCTGCAGACCTCTGCTGTGGGGTTTTTACTTGGCATGCGTCCCCACCCGCTCGGGTGCTGCTGAAATAGAAATGTTGGTTTTAGCGGAGGCTTTTGTTGTTTTGTTTTCTTTTCAAATGAAAGAAAAAACAACAACAAGAAAAAGTCCTTCCACTGGCAGAAAAAGAAGACGCCGTCCAATTAAAATAAAACCCGAAAGACTCTTAAGTGCTCGGCTTGGAAGGGCTCAGAGGCGAAT